AAGGCAAAGTAGCAAAAGCTGATACAGAAATAAGGATTCAAAAATAAGGGATTTTGAAATACAGGTAGTCCTTGACTTATGGCCACAATTGAACCAAAAATGTCTGGCGTGAAGTGAGACATTTGTTAAGCGAGTTTTGCCCCATTTTATGGCCTTTCTTGCCTCGGTTGTGAAGTGAATCACTACAGTTGATAAGTTAGTAACCTGGTTGTGAAGTGAATCTGGCTTCCCCTGTTAGGAATAACAAGGTTACCTAACGTAGTTTGGGTAAAATAATATATATAAACTATGATAGTAAGTTTAAGTGTGTGTCACTTTAAACTGCAAAGCATGTAATTTTGGTGCGGTGTGAAACCGCCATAAGAGGGAGCAAGAGAACCTGCTGGATTGCTGACGATTGATGGTTTGATGGATTGATGGTTTGCTAACTGCGTGTTCCCTACTGCTGAGTTGCTGAACGTCGAAGGAAGAAAGGTTTGACTTCTTCATATCTCTACTGCGAGGAGATATATTACTGGACTGATATTTGTAAGTTTACTGACCCTTCTTTTTCGACACTGGACTTTGCAACTGAATAATCCCCGGACGGACTGAACTAGTGAATGATATATGGACTGTTTTTGACTATGCTATAACTCTTGCTGGAATAAACTATTTAACTAGCACTGTGTATCTGTTTTATTGAGTGTAAGCTACAAAAAAACGTGTATCTCACATGTTTTGCCTGACTGCCTGACTGCCGTGCAGATTCTGCTAGGGTGTATACCTAACATCCCTGCTGATTTTGCTGGTCAGGTTGTAAAAAGGGTCATAAATATGAACCAGTTGCCAAGCATCTGAATTTTGATCATATGATCATGGCGATGCTAGAAAGATTGTAAGTGTGAAAAATGGTCATAAGTCGCTTTTTAAAGTGCCTTTGTAACTTTGAACGGTCACTAAATGAACTGTTGTAAGCCTAGGACTACCTGTATTATTTTGTACATCCAGAGCTGTTTTGTTAGTATAATTATTTTATTGTCATACATTTATTTCAATGTTACATTCAAAAAGAATTATTTTCAGTTTTTACCCCTAAGCCCAAAATATTGAAATATGACACTTTCATGTGAGATGAGATAAATGGAGATTAATGTCTGTATGCAGATTAAATAAAAAGTTTGCAGAGTTGGCGTCTTTAAAAGTCGGGCTTTAAAATGTCAAAATGGCATTTTTTGATCTGAAGCATTTTTTTCAGCTCTGTTTATGAACCAAAATGTGGAAAAGAAAAATGAACTGTGTTGTGTTTTAGTCTGACAATTCTCTTCTTCTATACCCATGAGTTTTCCTCCAGCACCAAAGGGATTAGAACATAAATGCAAGAAATCATAAATGTTGCATTTATACTTACACTGAGGAGTAAACAGAAAGTTTTGTGTTAAATTGATGCCAGTCCCCCTTATATTGAGGTCACTTTTATTTTGTCTTGCTTGTTGAAGAATGGAACAGAAGAGGGGTGGGCGGAAGGGACTTCATTTTATTTTGCTTTTTAACAAAGAAATGGGAGTGTTACAAATGGCTACCTTCTGCTGATTCCTAATTATCAATTTTTTAATTCTATGAGGGTCATGAAAGCTATCATTTTGAGCTAGAGCAGGTGTCTGCAACCTGTGGCTCTGGAGCCATTTGTGGCTCTTTTGGCCCTCTGCTGCGGCTCCCTGTCAGCTGATTCCACTACTGGATGGCCCCTCCCTTTCCCATCACTCCTCATCTGGCCTGAGAAGGTAAGGGGGATGGCGTGGGATGGAGACTCACTCCATATTCCAGAGCAGGAGGTGACTGGGTGGGACTAAGTGACATCGAGTTGGCCATGCCCACCCAGTCACACCGGTTGTTAAAATTATTGGCTCACGGTCTTGTCTTTTCTGTGGGAAACGGAACTAAATGGCTCTTTAAGTGTTTAAGATTGCAGAGCCCTGAGCCAGAGCAATGGTTCTCCACCTCAGCAACTTTAAAATGTATGGAATTAAGGAGAAACTTCCTAAAAGGGAGGGAAGTTAACCAAAGGAACGGCTTGCCTTCAGAAGTTGTGGATGCTTCATCACTGGAGGTTTTTAAGAAGAGACAGAATGTATGAAATGGTAGAGGGTCTCCTGCTTGAGCAGGGACTGGGCTAGAAGACCTCCAAAATCCCTTCCAGATAACAGGTAATCAGAGTTGGAAGGGGCCTTGTAGGTCATCTAGTCCAACCCTCTGCCCAAGCAGGAGACCCTACACCATTTCTGACAGATGGCAGTCCAAACTCTTCTTGAAAGTCTCAAGTGATGAAGCTCCCACAACTTCCGAGGGCAAAGCTGTTCCGTTGGTTGATTGTTCTGTCAGAAAGTTTCTCCTTATTTCCAGGTTGAATCTCTCCTTGTTCAGTTTCCATCCATTATTCCTTGTCTGGCCTTCAGGTGCTTTAGAAAATAGCTTGACCCCCTTCCTCTCTGTGGCAGCCCCTCAAATATTGGAAGACCGCTATCATGTCTCCCCTGGTCCTTCTCTTTACTAGCCAAGCCCAGTTCCTGCAACCGTTCGTTGTATGTTTTAGCCTCCAGTCCCCTAATCATTCCTGGTTGCTCTTCTCTGTACTCTTTCTGGAGTCTCAACATCTTTTCTATGTGAACAAATTGGATGCAGTGCTCTAGGTGTGGTCTTACTAAGGCTTTATAGAGTTGTATTGGTACCTTCCTTGATCTTGATTATATCCCTCTGTTAATGCAACTTAGGATTGCATTAGCTTTTTTGGCTGCTGCTGCACACTGCTGGCTTATATTTAGCTGGTTCTCCACTAAGGCTCCAAGATCCCTCTCACAGTTCCTGCTATTGAGCCTGGTTTCACAAAGTCTATATGTGTACTTTTGGTTATTTCTTCTCTAAGTGTAGGACTTTACTTTTTTCTACATTGAATTTCATTTTGTTAGATACGACCCAGTGTTCCAGTCTGTCAAGATCCATCTTGATCTTGAGCCTATCTTCTTGGGTGTTAGCTATTCCTGCCAGCTTAGTATCATCTGCAAATTTGGCAAGTTCCCCTTCTATTCCCTCATCTAAGTCATTAATGAAGATATTGAAGAGTACTGGGCCTAAGAGAACCTTTTGGCACCCCATTGCTTACTTCCCTCCATGTAGACTTAGACCCATTAAGGACTACTCATTGCGTATGGTTTGCCAGCCAGTTGCGAGTCCATCTAGTAGTGGTGCTATCTATTCCACTTTTTTCTAGCTTACTAAGAAGTAGGTTGTGATCTACTTTGTCAAATGCCTTGCTGAAATCTAAATATGTCCACAGTATTTTGCTGGTCTACTAATTTCCAACTCTATTCTGATTCTGATTCATCACTGGAGGTTTTTAAGAAGAGATTGGGCAGTCTGGACAGAGGTTGGACAGACTGGACAGTCACTTGTCTGAAACAGTATAGGTAGGATCTCCTGCTTGAGCAGGAGGCTGGACTATAAGACCTCTAAGGTCCCTTCCAGCTCTGTTCTGATTCTGACTTCAGCTCCTGTAATCCAGCAGAGGTGGGTGGGAAATTCTGGCATTTGAAGTCCATACATCTTAGACTTGCTGAGTTTGGAGAAACAGTAAGCAAGTGTTGTTCCCAATTCGGATCTGAGCCAAGTGTCGAAGCCGATGAACACTAGGTGCAGGTTTTGTTTCCTTTTAAAGGTAGTCATCCAACTTAACCATTTCACTTAGTGACTGTTCAACGTTACAACGGCACTGAAAAAAGTTGACTTATGACCATTTTTCAGACTTACAACCGTTGCAGCGCTCCCCACAAGTCACCTGATTTACCAGATGCTTGACTGCTTATTCGCATTTAGGGCAGTTGTAGTGTCTCCAGGTCACTCCTTTTGCAACCTTCTGACAAGCCCACTCAATGGGGGTGGGGAGCCAGATTCACTTAACAACCATGTGACTAAATTTAACAACTGCAGTGATTCACTGAACAACTGCATCAAGAAAAGTAATCAAGGGGGGGGCGCAAAAATTTCTCACTTAGCAACATAAATTTTGGGCTCCCTTGTGGCCGTAAGTCAAGGGACTGACTTAACTGTAGAGAACTTTTCTCAGTTTTATTTTCAAAACAACCCTATGAGGTAGGCTGGAAGAAGAACAACCCCAAATAGCTAAATTATTTCATGTTCATAGCTGCCTCTAAGGGCTCAGGGCCAAGTAAACTACCTCCGGACAGCCAGTTCTGATTTCCAGGGGTAAAAGGAACCTATTCCTTCCTTGTGGGGCCCCGGGACTGGGCCTCGGCCCAGAGGTTGGGGGAATCCCTGTGTTAAGACTACTGTTCCCCTTATCCGCTGCCGCTGGCTTGATGGCGCTCGAAGGACGCCAACTTGTGGTGACTAACGGACACTCGTGTTAACGCATGCGCCAATAGCAACGGTGCGTTTTTCCCCTTCTCGCCCTCTGATTGGATAGCAGCGACATTCAAACGGCCCAATTGACAGCGACGGATTCGAAGGGCAGAGTCAGCATTCCTGCCGGGGCGGGGAGGAGGAAGGTACTGTGGTCCGCCTATTGGCTTCGGGTCCTTCTTACGCCAGGCGTCAATCAATCGACCTCCAAAATGAAGGCGAAACTAAGGCTTCTCCCCCTTCCCTCGCCCATGTGTCCCGGGCCCGCCTCTTCATTGGGAGATTCGGTCAGCCCTGGCCCGCCTCCTGGAAGATTCGAACGCCTTTTCTGAAAGAGTGGATTGGCTGTCTCAAGCGAGGGGCGGGGCCCGGAAAGTGTGGCGCGAGGATCGAATGTAGCGGATGGGAAGGAGGAAGGGGCTCGCTACCCCCCCCGCCCCTCGTGAGAATCCCATTTGGAATTTCCGAGCATTGTGGCGTCACCGCCAGGAATCCCTGCCATTGTGACGTCACGGAGAGGCACTGAATTGCTGTCGTCGTCGTCGGCAACTTCTATCCCCCCCCCCCCCCGCAACTTTCTGCAAGCTGTGGAGTATTTGCGGGAATGGTAGCTTATTCCTGGCCGACGTCTGTATTCAGCATCCTTGGCCAGCCTGAGGTCTGAATTAGGATCGCTCCCGTAAAAAATCCGCTTTGGTGTTCAGGCATACCAAGACAGAGGTTTGGCTGCTGTGTCGGCATTTTGCTACCCAGGTATGAACAAATTAATGGCATCGATTAATTAATTGCAGGTAACTGTTTCTTCCGGGAACCTCTAGGAAACAGTTCCTTGAACTCCCCTCGGTTTTTTTTCTATTTTTTTTTTTAAATTATAAGAATACAATACTGTGCAGCCGTTCTGGCTTTACAATGGTTATACCAATGCGGGCAGGGAATTCTGGGGAATGTAGTCCACCTATTAGGAAGTTACAAGGTGGATAGATAGATAGATAGATAGATAGATAGATAGATAGATAGATCTTTGGTTATTCGGCTTTTCTCCCGCGTAAGATTGGAAGTATCCAGGCAATGTTTCCATGAAGTCTCATTCATCATCTTCAGGCTTGTATCTTCAGGCTTGTGTCTTCTGAAGCCTGATGATGGCAGATGAGATTCTGCCAAAACGTTGCTACAACTTTAAAAGCACAACTACAATGACGTGGGGAAATACCGGAACAAAGCTGAATGCCATACATGTAAGTACCCGTGAAAACTTAAGAAAAATATATAATTTCACCATTCACACTCTCCTTGTTTGTTACATTGTTTACTAATTATTGTAATCATCATAGCTCCTTATGTTCCGATCTTGCCTTCTTCTATGCAACCATTGACAGAATTAATTTCACGTTTCATAGTATTCAGATTCCCCCTTGTTTTTTTTTTAATTCTAGGGTTAACCTATCAGATTCTGCACATGCTATAATGTTCTGTCGGAATCTCTGTTGCTATGCTTTCCTTCTTCCAGTATTGCGCCTGTATTATTCTAGCCGCTGTCAATACATGTACTATTAAATAAATTAAATCCTTCCTATATCCTTCTGATATTCCTAGGAGAAAAAAAAATCCGGTTTAAATGGAATACACTCCCCCACCGTTGGTTCCACCCATGTCTGCATCTGTCTCCAGTACTTTTTTGCAGCTTCCCTCGTTTAATCCCAACAACTCATCCGCTAGGGTATGGTTTACTAACTATTCAGCAGACTTGTAGGGTGGATCATTAACAGAAATAAAACCTTTCTCTTTAAAAAACAAACAAACAACTTCTTAAGGGAGTTTCAGCATTTCTGCCCATGTTTGCAAGCGCAGCTGCTAATGTTGGAATCTACCCATCCAAATTGCCAAAGGCCTGGTTTCTTGCTCATATAATCCCTGAAAAATACTTTCCCCATTCACTTGTGGGGAAAGATTCTTGCTCTTTATTCTTTCAAAATCCTGCAAGGTGGGCTGGGCTGAGAAAAAGTGGCTGGCCCTAAGCTGCCCACTCAACTCCATAGACTTATGCGCACAGTTCCCCAAACCTTGTAACTTCCTAATAGGTGGACTACATTCCCCAGAATTCCCTGCCCGCATTGGTATTGCTGATAAATCTGGTGGAGACATCAAGAATCTGCCAAGGTTGAGAAACTGTTCAAGTGGAAATTAGGTACGTCTTCCTGACCCTTGTCCCAGCTCCTTAATCACTACTGTGATACACTTGGTATTTTTTTTTAATCAAAGTTAGAAATTGGTTTTAAAACCAATCTTAAATATATCAGGAAGCTAGTTGACCAATGTGTCAAGAAATCATCTTCAGTTGCTTTAATATTGTTCCATGTAACTAAGAAGATATGCCTTGGTTAAACACAGAAATTCTGGACCCAACTGAGCTTGTAGATAATCATAACAACGCTGAGTATGTGCTAATTATGCTAACACTTTTTTGCACCCCAATCAGGTCACTTAGAGTTACAAAAATCTGAAAAATCGTCAGACAATATGTCCCACCATCTAACAGTCTTGTGGGTTATGACTAGCTGATCTGCTAGTCCTAGATTTGTAGGATTTGATATGCTATGTCATTATAATGGTTTGAAAACGGAATTTAAAAGGACCATCAATTGCTACAAAGGTAGCTTACCTTTTGTAGCCAAAATGACAAATCCTTGACTTATAACCTTTTGTTTAGTGATTGTTCAAAGTTATAGAAGCACTAAGAAAGAGACATGATCATTTTTCACATAACCCTGGCAATATCCCCATGGTCACGTGATCAAAATTCAGAGACTTGGCAACTGGTTTACATTTATGACGGTTGCAGTATCCTGTATGATCGTCCTTTGTGACCTTCTGACAAAGTCTGTGGGGAGGCCAGATTTACTTTACAACTGTTTTATTCACGACTGCACTGATTTGCTTAACAACCATGGCAAGGAAGGTGGTAAAATGGGCCCAAAGCTCATTTAACAACTGTCTTACTTAGCAGTGCGAATTCTGGGCTCAATTGTCATAAGTCAAGGACAAGCTCTACTCCTGAATCTCAGATGACCGGTCAGGAATTGTCAAGAGGTAATATTTTTGTTCTTTTCTTGGCCAGGCACTATGCGGCGTTCTCCATCATCTGGCACCAGAAGAATCCCTTCGACCCCTCCTTCCCGCCGCCACCAATCTGGAGGATCGCCACGCGGGAGGCAAACCTCTCCCCGTCGTCCTGGACTGAGGCAACCCCCACAACAAGCAGCAGGTAAGAAATATGGATCATTGACTGGAACCAAAAGTCTAGTGAAAAAGAAGAATGAATAGAGTAGAGTAGAGTAGAATAAGAATAGAATAGAATAGAATAGAACAGAATTCTTTATTGGCCAAGTGTGATTAGGCACACAAGGAATTTCTTTTGGTGCAAATGCTCTCAGTGTACATAAAAGAAAAGATACATTCGTCAAGAATCATCAGGTACAACACAATAATAGTCATAGGGTACAATAAGTAATCAAATCATACTAGGAGACAGTCCATATAAATTGTAAGGATACAAGCGACAAAGTCACATTCATACAGTCACAAGTGGGAGGGGATGGGTCATAAGGAGTGATGAGAAGATTAACAGTAACAGTAATGCAGACTTTGTAAATAGTTGGATAGTGTTGAGGGAATTATTTGTTTAGCAGAGTGATGGCATTCGTGGGGAAAAAACTGTTCTTTTGTCTAGTTGTTCTGGTGTGCAGTGCTCTACAGTGCTCTATTGTTTTGAGGGAAGGAGTTGATACAGTTTATGTCCGGGATGTGAGGGGGTCTGTAAATATTTTCCCAGTCCTCTTTTTGAGTCAAGCATTATACAGGCCCTCGATAGAAGGCAGGTTGGTGGTAATCGCTTTTTCTACAGTCTTAATTATTCTCTGGAGTCTGTGTCTGGGATGACAATGTTTGCAGTGTTCCAATATCTCGGGGGGCTGCCACAAAGAAAAAGGAGTCAAGCTATTCTCCAAAGCACCTGAAGGCAGGAGAAGAAGCAATGGGTGGAAACTAATGAAGGAGAGAAGCAACCTAGAATTAAGGAGAAATTTCTTTAATTCGACTTGCCTCTAGAAGTTGTGGGTGATCTTAAGAGTAGACGTTTTTAAAAAGAAACTGGACAACCATTTGTCTGAGATGATATAGGGCAGTGGTAGCTAACCTTTTGGGGCTCCTGTGCCCAAAGTTGCACGTGAACCAGCATGCATGCACTCGCGTGCCAGCACCCAGAATGCAATGTTTCCTCCCCCACGCCCCCTGTGCATGTGTGCGCACACACACCCTTACCTGCATTGCGCCTCACAGCTGATTTTACGGCTGGTTTGAGGCCTTTTTCAGCCTCCCAGAGCCTTGGAAAAAGCCTCTGCAAGGCTTTTCAGGCCAAATTATAGGCCCGTTTCGTCACTTCCCGTATTACAGGAAGTGACAAAACGGGCCTATAATTAGGCATGAAAAGCCTTGCAGAGGCTTTTTCCAAGCCTCTGGGAGGCCAGAAAAGGCTTCAAACCAACAGCAACAGCAACAACAACAACAAAAAAAAAATAGAAAGAAAGAGACTTTTTCAGGTGTGGGGCAGTCTGGGCAAGTTACCCCACTTCAAAGCTTTGGAGAGGTTGACTTGCAGGAAGCCCTCAATTTATGAACAGTGATATACAGGTAGTCCTCAACTTATGGCCTCAACGGAGCCCAACATTTCTGTTGTTAAGCGAGGCAGTTGTTCAAGTGACTATGGCTCCATTTTGTGACCCTTTTTTTTGCCATAATTGTTAAGTAAATCGCCGCAGTTGTCAAATTAGTGACCTGGTTTGTAAATGAATCTGGCTTCCCCGTTGTCTTTGTGAGGAATTTGCAAAAGGGGATCACATGACCCAGGGATACAGCAACAGTCATAAATATGAGTCAGTGGCCCAGCATTTGAATTTCGATCACATGATGGTGGGGAAGCTGCGAGAGTTGTCAGTCTGAAAAACGGCCACAAGTCCTGTCATACCCCTGTTGGAGTCTGACTCTGAGGGAGAGGAAGGACAGCTGACAGGAAATGGAAGTGTGGCTCTGGAGGTTGTGGAGGAAACTGGGGAAGGGGCACAGGTCAGCTGGGCAGTCAGAGGAAGACCTAGGCCCATCCCCTCTCCATCCTAGGGTATGCAGGGAGGAGAGGATAAGGAAGAAATGTGAATGGCATGGTCTATGGGGGAGGAAAGGGCCTTGATCAGAGGCTCTTTCTTTCATGGGCTGCAGCTGTGAGGACTGCTTAAAAGGCCGGACGTGCGTATGGGCTAGTGCTGGAAACAAAGTCTGAAAATATTTCTAGTCTGTTCGTTCTTATCCAAGTTTGGCGTCCTTCCCAGTGTGTATTCCGATATCTGGGGAGGTCTTCAAGCCCTTATCTTGCCTGGTTTCCTTAATGGCTTCAGTACGGTTTGTGTTGTTTTTTTCTATTTATAATTATAGGTATTTTTAGTTTGAATGGCATGTCCTCCTTTTTTGCAACTGTTTGTGGGGGAATTTTTTGTCTCCGGTCAAGGATATTTGGAGCTTTAAAGCCAAGCTGAAGGAATTAAAGGGGCTTCACCTGTTTTTGTGCCTGTGTTTATTTTGTATCCCACCCTGGTTATCACAAGTCCCTTTTTTCGGTGCCGTTGAAGTGAATCTGGCTTTCTCGTTGATTTTCCTTGCCAAAACATTGTAAAAAGGGAATCACATGACCTTTTGGGAGACAATAACGGTTGTAAGTGTGAACCAGTTACCAAGCATCTGAATTTTGATCACACAATCGGAATGATCTGCCACAAAGGTTGTAAGTGTGAAATATGGTCACGAGTCCCTTTTTTTCAGGGCTGTTTTAACTTTGAACGGTCACTAAATGAACCTTTGTAAGGTGAGGACTACCTGTACTGCCTGGAGATGATGATGGCATAGGGCAGGGGTTGGCAACTTTAAGCATTCAAAGAGCCACAAAGGTTGTAACTGCAAGCTGCCCCCCCCCCCTTCAATTCTGGAGGTGACCGGAAGTCTGTTTCCCCCCACCATGGAGTCTCTTCCTAGCACGGCATTCTTTTTCTTCTACCTGTCTAACCAAAAGCCCTATCTATTGTGGAGCCAACTAGTGACAGGGAGCCACAGCAGAGAGATGAAAGAGCCACATGCGGCTCCAGAGCCATGGGTTGCTGACCCCTGGCATAGGGGAAGCTGATCCATATAAATATCTGGCAGTTTTGGGCTGCTGAGGCAGCTGTTCTCAATCTTGGTGACTTTAAAATGCATGGACTTCAAATTCCCAGAATTCCAAGCCCTCAAAGTTGGGAACTACTGAACTGAAACCTCTTTTCCTCTTGGGGGTCATCTTCCCTTTGTTAACCCCCTCCCCCACTTTTATGTCCTATCCAGCAAGTCCTCGGAGAAGGAGGAGATACAGGCCTGGCCAGCGAGCCTTGCAGGAGATCAGAAAGTATCAAAAAAGTACTGATCTACTAATTGCCAAGCTTCCCTTTGCTCGTGTGGTAAGTTGACCGTCCACCCTGATTTATTTTGTTTTGTTTTCCTTCAACCATGGCCTACTTAGATGCCGCGGTGTCCAAAATGAAACTATTACTTATTGAATACTTTTTTTTTTTTTTTTTTTGCACTGGTGATGTTACCTGCAAAACGTCTGCAAGAAAACCACCAAGCTCAGAGATTCCCAAGGATCTTTCATAAAATTGTTGTGCATTTCGTGATTCTCTGTAAGATACCCAAATGCTCCTTTAACATCGCCACCCCTGTAAAAATTCAAAAGGATCCAGAGCCCACCCATGTGGTACAGATTTTCCAATTCGCTATTGTTGGGGGCAAGATGCTGGCTCCGTAAACCAGGGGTCGCCAACCTTTTGGACCTCAGGGACCACCAAACTCATAATTTTAAATCCCACGGACCAGAGACTCTGAGAAAATCCCCGCAAAAGTCTGCAGGAAAATTCTCCACCCCATTTTCCTACCAATCAATCATTCTCTGTTTAGGATCGCAGGATACTATCTCCAGCTCCGTTCTCAGGGTGGGGGAGAGAGAGAGAGACTGTTGGCTTCATCCAAGGAAAGCAGCAGAAGTCTTTCTTTCTCTCCCCCAAACTCCACCAGAAATGAGTCTTTGCCAGCGCAGCCTCTTGGAGCAGGATGCCTTGCAGGGTCCCAAAGACTCATTTCTGGTGGAGTTTGGAGGGGAGAAAGAAAGACTTTTGCTGCTTTCCTTGCATGCAGCCAAAAGCAGAAGAAAGAAGCAGAAAACAGCAGCCCGGTAGCCAGGCCAGGCGCGTGGGGCAAATTCCCCCCTCTCCGTCCTTTCCCCTCTTTCCTCACTATCTTGTGTTGTTCGCAGTGCAAGCGACAAGCCTTGTGTTCCCCTGGGCCATGTGGGTGGCACAGCCTTGTGTTCCCGCGCAGCCTGGATTAATTGCTTTGGGGGTGACTTTCTCTGCGGACCACCAAAATTTTCTCACAGACCACCAGTGATCCCCGGCCCACCGGTTGGTGACCACTGTTGTAAGCCACTTAGAGAGAGCTGTAAAGCGGTATGTAAGTCTAAGTGTTATTGCTACGCCCGCATACATATATACGCATACAAATACATGTGTGAGTGTGTGATTTTTTTTTTAAAAAATCTCACTGTAGTTTGCATGTTTAGGAATTTCCATATAAACAATAACATGATCTGATATTCTCTCTCTCTCTCTCTCTCTCTCTCTCTCTCTCTCTCTCACACACACACACACACACACACACACACACACACACACCTGAATTTTGATTATGTGACCATGGGGATGCCGCAATGGTTGTAAATGTGAAAATGGTCATAAGTTACTTCTTACAATACCTTTGTAACTTTGAATGGTTACTAAATGAACTGTTATAAGTCGAGGACTACCTGCCTTTTGATTTAAAACCCACACAAGTGCCAAAGACATCCCAGCAGATGGCAGCACCTACCGACTTTGGCTGATGAAGAAAAAAATAAAATAGATTCAGATCATGTTATTATTTATATGGGAATTCCTAAACGTGCAAAACTCTGGTGAAAAATTAAAAAGAAAACAAAACAAAAAAACCAGAGAAAGGCAATGGCTAACCATTTCCTTCTGCCAGGAATCAAACTCAACACAGTCTTACGTTGGCTGGAGAGGATGGAATTTGCAGTTCCATTTATGAAGGGTCTTGTGATCCCTTTTTCCAACCTTGTGACAGGCAAAGTTCATAGGGGAGCTCAGATTCACTTAACAACCATGTCACTATTTTAACGACTGCAGTATGTCAACTAAAATAATAAAAATACTTCTTTGGTCTTTTTAGTTGCCAGTAGAAAGGGAACGGGGGAAAGCAGTGCATTCCTGGAATGCTTCAGATAGTTGCTAGGCAGCCCAAAGCTTCTGGCACGCAAGATTATTACTGGAGAGCATGATTGATGACTCTTGGCTATGGATGTGTCCCATTGGAGAATATACATCCAGGGGGTAGCGGGAAGACCAGGGTCAAGGGTGAAATGAATGATGTGCTGGCTACACCCAGGTAGCACCGGCATGTTCACTCCTAATAAATTTTCTTTAAACTCTGAGAGATGCGGCTAGAGACTTCTGGTTTGAATGGGGGTGGATTTGTTGGAGACCTGACACGGTGATTGTCAAGCACGAAATTGACATAAGTATAGCCATTTCAGTTTGTTTTAGTATATATTCTTTTTCTTTCTCTAAGGTGGGGAGGAGTGGAGATAAAAGAGAGTTGTTTTGGGAAACAAGCTGTTCTGTGCTTAGGCCCCTTGAGATGGAGATTTACGACATCAAGCAACGTTGAATTACTTCTATTGGAGAATGTGACTTTGGGTGCAGTGTGTGTGTGTTTCTAACTTCTAATATTGTGGGGGTAATTCCGGGTTGTGTCAGATCCGGAATTAACATGGACTTTGCCAATTTGATGCTTTCCTAAATAAAAGAAATCTTTTTTGAAAGATGGACTTTGTTCTTTTCTTTTTAAATGAATTTCATCACGTGGAAACCCGACCGTGATTCACTTAACCAATGTGGCAAGAAAAGTCGTAAAACGGGGGGGCAAAAACCCACTTAACAAACCTCTCGCTTCCCAAATTACTCGGCAACGTAAATTTGGGGTCATAAGTTAAGGACCACCTGTATTTGCCAGGCGGGGAGGGAGGAGAATAAGTTCCCAGCGGACCACAGGATTTAACAGAGCTACTCATCGCATCCTGGGACGAAAGAAACTCCCTTGTCATCTCTTCTGTGTCTTTCGCACCCCTCCACAGGTACGGGAGATCTGCCTGGAATTTACGCGAGGGGTTGACATGATGTGGCAGTCCATGGCACTACTTGCCTTGCAGGAGGTAAGATCTTGGGCAGGGCTGAGTGGGAGAACAGGGTTCATCTCAAGAACAGGAATGGGTGACACACACACACCCGCGCTGTTCCCCCATTCTTATTCTTTTCCCCGTGAGGTTCTGTGAGAAAGTCCTTGAGAGACAGAAGGAGAAGAAGTTGCAGAGTAGAACAACGGACATGCCAAATGCCCCAGGAGGGCCCTCTCTAGTTTCTTGGACTGTAAGGGTAAAGGAGGGAGTGGGGGGAATGTGCTTTTGGACATGCAAGATTGATATCACCCCTTCAAAGTACTCTAGACCGGAAGCAGCAACTGTGAGGGCTAACCCTAGCTTTATTATCAATTACAGTAACCAGAATCTTGCAAGTTGAAAAGTACTTTTGTTTGCCTCCTTGTCTTTACTTTTTGAGACTGTTAGGGATACACCCTAGCAGAATCTGCATGGCAGTCAGGCAGGCAGGCAAAATATGTGAGATAAATGTTTTTGTAGCTTACACTCAGTAAAACAGATACACAGTGCTAATTAAATAGTTTATTCCAGCAAGAGTTATAGCATAGTCAAACAGTCCATATATCATTTACTAGTTCAGTCCATCCGGGGGTTTATTCAGTTGCAAATTCCAGTGTCGAAAAAGAGGTCAGTAAACTTACAAATATCAGTCCAGTAATATATCTCCTCACAGTAGAGATATGAAGAAGTCACACCTCCTTTCTTCCTCCAGCAACTCAGCAGTAGGGAAACACGCAGTTAACAAACGATCAATCCATCAAACCAGTCAATCGTCAGCAATTGTCAGGTTCTCTTGCTCGCTCTTATGGCGGTTCGCACCCAAAATTACATGTTTTGCAGTTTTAAGTGACACACACTTAAACTTACTATCATAGTTTATATATATTATTTTACCCAAATTACGTTAGGTAACCTATGTTATTCCTAACAGAGACATTTGCCAAGTCCCCATTGCTTCTTTGGGCTAAGCTGCCTCCTGTTCTGTGCTGTGCTATTCTAATTCCCATTCTCATTCATGCCACACCATGCTACGCCTCCACTCCACTTTCTTCAGTCTTATCTATTTATCAGATATTTATCTAATATAAACCCTCATTCTGTCCTCTCATTTATCCTCAACAACTCTCTCTCTCTCTTTCTTTCTTTCTTTCTTTCTTTCTTTCTTTCTTTCTTTCTTTCTTTCTTTCTTTCTTTCTTTCTTTCTTTCTTTCTTTCTTTCTTTCTTTCCTTCCTTCCTTCCTTCCTTCCTTCCTTCCTTCCTTCCTTCCTTCTTTCCCTCCCTCCCCCTCTCTCTTCCACTCCTCCCCCTTTCCGCAAACCCTTCTGCCTAAACTCCTCCCCTCTAGATCTATGTCATATTCTGAACCATTTGATCACAAGCCACCTCATACCGGCCATTCTCTGCCCAGCACAATTTGGGTGCCAGGAGCTTTGCGTGTCCCCACCTGTTATTTTGGAGGAATATCGTAGGATCACAGGGGTAGGAAGTGGATTGGTAATGGAGGCAGCAAACGTAAAGCTAGGAGACTTTCCTGCCAGTTTGAGAGAGGCCACAAAGTCTAGCCTGACAGGAGGTGGGGAAAACGCTCCCAAATTAACCCTGTATGTGTTCCCTCTCTCTCTTCCTCTCTTTCTCTGTCTCTTTAACCGGAACAATCTGGAACTGAACACACTCAAAACCGTAGAAATGGTGGTAGACTTTAGAAGAAACCCTCCCATACTACCACTTCTTAGAATACTAGACAACACAGTATCAACAGTAGAGACCCTCAAATTTCTAGGTTCTGTTATATCAAATGACCTAAAATAGACACCCAACATCAAAAACATCATAAAAAAAGCACAACAAAGAATGTTCTTTCTGCGCCAACTCAGAAAGCCCAAACTGCCCAAGGAGCTGCCGATTTAGTTCTACAGAGAAATTATTGAGTCTCTCATCTGTACCTCTATAACTGTCTGGTTTGGTTCTGCAACCCAACAGGACAGACACAAACTTCAGGGGATAATTAGGACTGCAGAAAAAAACAGTTACTACCAACCTGCCTTCCATTGAGGACCTGTATATTGCACGAGTCAAAAAGAGGGCTGTGAAAATATTTATAGACTCCTCACATCCTGGACGTAAATTGTTTCAACTCCTACCCTCAAAATGACGCTATAGAGCACTGCACACCAGAATAACCAGACACAAGGACAGTTTTTCCCCAAATGTCATCATTCTGCTAAACAAACAATTCCCTCAACACTGTCCAACTATTTACAAAGTCTGCACTACTACTACTATTAATCTTCTCATCACTCCTTATCACCCATCCCCTCCCACTTGTGACTGTGTGACTGTAACCTTGTTGCTTGTATCCTTACGATTTATATTGACTGTCTCCTGGTATGATTTGATTGCTTATTGTACATTAAGTGTTGTACCTTATGATTCTCGACTCTTGATGAATGCATCTTTTCTTTTTATCTACACTGAGAGCATTTGCACCACGACAAATTCCTTGTGTGTCCAATCACACTTGGCCAATAAAAGAATTCTAATTCTTTACGTCCCTCTGTCTCTTGTGTTTCTCCTCCCAAGGCAGCTGAAGCCTTTCTGGTTCATCTCCTGGAAGACGCCTACCTCTGCACCATCCATGCCAAACGGGTCACCCTCCATCCCAAGGATATCCAATTGGCTCGCCGGATCCGTGGCCTTGATCAGGGTTTGGGTTAGTTCCCTTTCTTGAGCTGTCCTAGCTGAAGAGGTAACATTTGGGGGCACCAAAGCTGCAGAGGAGTACCCCGTGACTGCTTTGGAGGAGGAGACAACCAAATTTACACACACACACACCCCTCCTCAAAATTCCATGGATTGGGAGTCTCGTCCTGCGCCCTTCGTCTTGCTGGAATTTCCCAAGAGTTTCCTTAGTTGATCTCTTCTTCCCACTTCCCTGCTCGGAAGGTGAGCAGAGATGGATCCAAAGACGAGAGGAGAAATGAATGGCCTGATCGCCAGGAAGGGGAAGAGCCATCCAGCCACCCATGTTTAAAGTGCAACCGCAGTCTCTGCCTTGGAACGGAGCCTCGTGCCAACGACGGGGACTGGAAAGTTGCTTCCCATTTTAGAGTTGGCCTTGTATTTTTGCACTTCCAACGTTTTAAAATAAAATCTTTTACCTTAAAAATTGTTCTTCGGTATCCTGCTCGCTGGGTCACCCTGTCCCTTCTTCAGCCCATTGCCTGATGCTCGGCAGACCCCTTCTGGGAACGCCCGATTCCCATGATTCCCTGCTGGTTGGGAATGATGGGCTTGAGCATATTTACCACATTTTTCCATTTCGTTGTACACATTTGATTTTATTTGCTTTACCTACTTTATCCACCCTTTTTAAAGGAAAGAATCTAATCCAGCAACTTCCATCGTACCCAAACCAGCAGCTGAACAGAAACACGTCTGAATTAATTTCTATTTTTTGTGATTCACGCCAGGGGGGTCAAACTTGTGCCCTGATTCATCATGCGCTGGCTGCGCCTCCCCCCCCCCGCCCCCAGTTTAGCGAAGGACGAAAAAAAGTTGTGACACGTCACATGACAGCAACATGTCATTGAGAGTTTGACACCCCTGATTCACACATACCCGCCTTGCTTCGTTTCCATTTCCACAATATCGCTGTCAGTTGCAAACACCTGTCGGTGCCCAAGTGTCTTTCTTCAGTTCCTTCCTGCAGTTAAAATGGTTCCCAGTTCTGCTTTTTACTGATAGTTCTCCACTTAGGGCCATAATGGAGCCTGCCCATTACCATCATAAATTGTGACAGTCATAAACCAGGCCATCGTGCGACTGATGCAATTTTACTATTTTTTTTTTGCAGAAGTCCATTGAGCGACTCACAATACTTGTTCAGTGGATTCGTGGCTGTTAAGCAAACCCATTGCTTGCTGATGTGTGTGTGTGTGTGTGGCGAAAACTGGGAATACCAGTTTGCAGTTAAAAAAAATATTCTAAATTGTGGTCGTGTGACCGCAGGGTGCTGCAAAGAGGTGTAAGTTGGCTGGTTGCCAAGTGTCCAAAATGCAATCACGTGATCGGGTGTGTATGTGGAGACTTGGCTGTTGGAACTTTGGAAGCAGGTCATAAGTACCTTTTCGGGGTATTGTAACTTCAAATGGTTGCTATGCAACCAGTCATACTTTGAGGACTACCTGTAGTTGCTCCTGGTCACATCTCCATTGTTTCTATCAAGAACTGAACAATCCTTGACTTTATTTATGGTTGCCCTTTTTCTCTATTAGCTTTCCTCCATTTAGGGCAAACAGTTCTAAAATATTTTCCTTCATCCCTTCCCTCTGCAAAAGTCATCCTATGTTCCCCTATTGTATAAATGCTATTGGTTTTTGTCCAATTCCTTCAAAGGCTAACATTATTTTCCCTGGATTTTGCTGCTTTATACCCTTATTGTAACACCGCTGATCTGTTACCATCTCCAGAGTTTAATGTATAACTCTTAATTCCCCTGATGTCTGGTTTCAACTTGCTTAATTTGATGATACCATTATTTTTTCAGAATCTTATCTGGTCTTATCTGGCGTCATTACAAAATCTCTCTTGTGCATTGTGGTTGCGTGTATGGAGAAGAGCTTGAAAGAGATTTTTGGGGAAATATTAGTGTAGTAAATGTGCCTTAATAGTTCATGCAAAAACTCTCTTGGTTAACCCAAGTAGCACCAGAAGATCAATACCTCTGGAATCCTAAAGGTGTATTTTTCAGGAGGCAACTGGACTTTCTTGGTTTTCCTTTTGAAGATGTTTCGCTTCTCATCCAAGAAGCTTCTTCAGCTCTGACAGGATAGTGGGGAGTGGAAGGATGAACATTTTAAAAAATGTATGACAAATACCAGTGACTGGTGCTAATGGTTGATACTGGTTGCTGCCAGTGTCCTAGGTATCAACCAAGTATCGTCTTAAAATATACGATGTTCCGAGTAGCACAGGGTTTTTTGTAGTTCTGCTGGTGTTATTGTGGGAAGCTACAAATCTTGATGTGTTTTATAAAAATTCTTGGACATGGTATCAAGTGCGCGGATGACAATGGGTATCACTGTTGCATGTTTTTACCCATAACCATGTAGTTTTAATGGCCAGGTCATAACATATCATGATTTTTTTCCAGTTCTTGTTCTTCGATTCTGGCATCTAGTACAGCAATATCAATAAATTGTATGCTTTGGCCCTCAACAACTGTAATATCTGGCGTGTTGTGTTCCAAATGGCAATCTGTCTGTATTTGAAAGTGCCACAAGAACTTCACCGTCTCATTTCTGACAACATGATTATGAGTATTATGATTATTATTCACAAAAAAACAACAGTGTACACAACAAACGAGATAACTGCTGGGTTTCGTATCACAAATCACTAGTCGAACACTTCTCAAGCGTTTAGGACTGTGTGATGTATCAGTGGACTATGCGAGCAGATCCCAGTAAGGTAGCCTTCTGCAGCTGACCAGTGGTGATTTTGTCAGCACCAATTGTTTTTAAGTGCTTGCTTAGGTCTTTAGGCCACAGCATCCAGTGTGCTGAGTACCACTGGAACCACCTGCACTGGTTTATGCCAGAGTCTCTGCAGTTTGATTCTCAAGTCCTGATATCTGGTGATTTTTTCAAGTTGTTTCTCGTCGATTCTGCTGTCACCAGGTATGGCATTGTCGACGATCCACACTTTTTTCTTCTCCACAATCGTGATATCCAGGGTGTTGTGTTCCAAAACTTTGTCAGTCTGTATTCAGAAGTCCCACAGTAGTTTGGCATGATGATGATGATTATTGTTGTTATTATAATCAATCATTCATTCATTCAATTGATCAGTCCAGCCTTTTCCCAGTAAATGGTTTAGGGAGATGACCATCGCCTGCCAAGAAAGGCTCAGGAAGGACAGTGTTAAACAGACGTCAAGAAGGACCTTGTACACCTACCCCTCACCATCCCAGTGTGGAGAATTTCCACAAAACAATAAATTACTGTGAAAATACTGTGTCACTTCTGATAAGCTACAAGGCGAAACCCTGGAATTACATCCATCAGCATCAAAACCCGCAAACATAGAAAAAAAAATAGAAAACCAAGTGGGATGAAGTGGAAAAGTTGACAAGTCACTCAGCTGATAGGTCTTAGCTCTTCTACAGGTAGTCCTTGATTTATAACCATTCATTTAGTGTCTGTTTGAAGTTAAAGTGGCACTGAAAAAAAGTGCTTTTATGGCTGTTTTTACATTTACGATGGTTTTAGCATCCCAGTAGTCATGTGATCAAAGTTGAGAGACTTGGCAACAAGCTCATATTTATGTGATCTGAACAAGCAAAGTCAACGCGGAAGCCAGATTCACTTAACAGCTATGTTCCTAACAACGGCAGTGATTCACTTAACAACGGGCAAGAAAGCTCGCAGAGCGGGCAAAACTCACTTAACAAACATTTCACTTAGCAATGGAAATGTTGGGCCTTAACTGTAGTCATCATTCTTTTTTTTTTAAATTAAGTTGGACTTAAGCACAGTACATAAAATCCTATGTTGCAGCGTCTTACCAGTTAATGAATATTTCAGCTTTAACCACAATAACACAAGGGCACGCAACAGATACAAACTAAATGTAAACCATTCCAAACTCGATTGCAGGAAGTACGATTTCAGCCACAGAGTGGTCAATATCTAGAACTCACTACCTGATTCTGTTGTCACCGGCTCAAACCCCCACTCTTTTACCCTCAAACTAACCTCTATTGACCTCACCCCATTCCTAAGAGCTCTGTAAGGGGTGTGCATAAGCGCACAATCGTGCCTACCGTCCGTGTCCTATTGTCCCCAATTATTAATTCCTAGTTCTTATATTTAAACTTACGTTCTTGTTTCTATTATATTGTAAGCTTTTGACAAAATAAAATAAAAATAAATAACTCAGGAACCATCTATAGACAAGAGACGTCTTCCTTGCCACTAGATGATGCTAAATTCACTTTACAACCGGGTTGTTAACCTAACAATTGCAGGGATTCACTTAACAATATCTGTTTATTTTCCAGAAGTCTCTGGAGATTCTCAATCATGGTTGTCCCAAATGTCTTTCCCCCCACCCCCCCAAAAAGAGGCAGCTGGAGTTTGTTTTTTCCTTGAAGATGTTTCTTGGATGTATTACCTTTTGCCTACTGTCAGGCCCCGATGCCTAATGATGTGTTTAATCTTAATAAGCCTTGGATTTCAATGGGGAGGCCCGTTCATTGCACAGCGCCTGGGGGGGGGGGGGGACACAGAGATATCTTGAAAAAGAAGGAAGCGAAAAAAAACACCCAATCTTCTTTTATGATGACACGGATCTTATCCTTTGGAGGTTCCGCAAAACATGTTCTCTTTGGTTTGACAAGAGGACTTCAAGGTCCCTTCCATCTCTGTTATTCTTTCTTATCGGCCAAGTCAAGGGGAAAAAAGAGGTTCTCAAACCATAAATTTGTCCAGGCTCAAGGATGAGGTAAGGGCCGGCCTCCATGTTGACAGTTATATGAGGTCAGGGGAAGAAGAAGAAGAAGAAAAAACACACACACACACAAATATTTTTTCTGACAAGAGATCTGGTGGGGCCCTCCTGCCCTGCAGTTGTGGAGAGGTAGATGAAGGAAGAATGACGGGTGGCTTTGAGGAGGGGCAGGAGTCTCCTCTCCTCCTCCCCTACCCACATGTTGAACAGGCTTGCTCTTAAATGCAAGGAGCCTCACCTGGCCAATATAACAATGCTCTGGGCTGGGCTCTTGGTCTTGGTCTCCCTGGCTGTGGCCCTCCTATGGTGGTTTCAGGGGGGGCTGAGATGGAGGAAGCAACCGTGGGAGCTCCCGGGGCCTTCGCCTTGGCCCTTAGTGGGGAATCTCCCTCACTTGCTGCATGCCGACCTGCCAGCCCACTTCCTCCAGTTAGCCCAGCATTATGGACCCATCTACCGCCTCCGGTGTGGAAAGAAAGGTAATTCTTGAATGTGTTTGTGATGCGGGGCGGGGCAGGGGGGGGAGGCAGAACAGTGATTTGGGGGATGTTAGAAGTAAACGGGGCAGCATTGGCATCAGTTAAAACCTACATATTTGTGGAGTTTGTAGCCCTCCAAAAAAAAACAAAAATACAATGGCATTGTGTTCCCGAGGCTGTTTTGTTTCATTTTGTTTTTAACTGCGGCTTGGGCTTCCGTGATTGTTTTCAAAACTTCCCTGCAATATTTTTTTTGTTTTCTAATTTTCTTCTTGGGCTTTTAAAGTCTTTGCAGTCCATCATTTTAGAATAGGCTTTAAATTAGAAAACAGGACGATTTGTTAGAATCAGGTTAGAGCTGGGATCTTGGAGATGTTCTAGAGCCATACCCTGCACAAGCAGGAAACAATTTACCATTTCAGACAAGTGACTGTCTTTTCTTAAAAACCTCCGGTGATGGAGTATGGCGTTCTGTAAATAAGAATTTTCCAGAGTGGTGAACCTTTTGTCCCAGCCTTATGAATAAATTTATATTCATTTATTTATTAAATTTAGGTACTGCCTTTCTCGCTATCCAAAATGAGTCTGGGAGCCTTACAGTGTAATAAAGATAGAAAATATATAAATACTTTTACATTTTCTATCTTTATTACACTGTAAGGCTCCCAGACTCATTTTGGATAGCGAGAAAGGCAGTACCTAAATTTAATAAATAAATAAATAAATATAATATTAAAAAATATATATAAAAATACCTTTATATTTTACTTTATAAAAATATAAAAATAAATACTTTGGGTCTGGATGAAGATCTGGATGACTTTGAGCTGTCACCAGAATCAATTGTCAGCTTTAGAAGTTATCTTTAGAGCTTAGAAGATAGAAGTTAAAAATAAAAGTTACCTTTAGAAGAGAAGAGAAGAAAAGAGGAGAGGAGAGAAGAGAAAAGAGAGAAGAGGAGAGAAAAGAAGAGAAGAGAAAAGAAGAGAAAAGAGGAAAGGAGAAGAGAGAAGAGAAGAGAAGGAAACACTGGTGACAAATTTTGGGGTGTATGAAAGCAAGCTAGGGGGTAAATTGTGAGGAAGCAGATTTCACCTAAACGTGGAGAGAAACTTCCTAAAAATCTAAGAATGACTAACTGGTTCCTTTACTGGAGCTATTTAGAGAATGTGAAGTCAGTGTCCTGAGCTGGCCAGTTTTACTGTACAACAGCTCTTATCTCAATGACAGCTGTGTTTTCAGGAACTAGCAGTACTTTTGATTAAAATTACTAGCTCTTTAAAGTAATGAAGCAAAATTCTCCACGAGTAATGTAGATTCTGGTGAGAACCAGTTCTGTATATAGAGTATATTTGAACTTTAATAACTTGCAAACTTGGCCAATAAGGAATTCTATTCTATTCTATTCTATTCTATTCTATTCTATTCTATTCTATTCTATTC